ACCTTTAAATAGAAGCCTTGCATAGAGGAGCAAATGGCGTGTTAAGAGGTCGTTGGAGCTGTTTTCTACCTCTCGTGGAGCCAGTTTAGATATCCCGAGATCCGCGAATATGTGCACAGAACGAAAGACTCGCAAGGTATTGACGCATAAGAACGCGAGGGATCGTAATAAATTAATAGCACACTTCAGAATGGGGTACGTAAGCGATTATTTCATCAGTTTTGCCTTGAGAGTGCTTCAACGCACGTGCGAAAGTCACGTTCCAGCATAAAGCAAACTTCAGTCAACTAAACGGATATTAAACCGTTATACTAATTTATTTAAAGAAATAAGAAAAAAAAATATATATATATGTATATAAATTTATTTAATAATTTCGTATATATTTAGTAATATTCTTGTGTGTGTGTGTGTGTGTGTGTGTGTGTGTGTGTCGCAATTTTTTATCCTTCTTTCTAATTGCTGCTTCAATTATTTTGAATATTATCTGCGTTAAGTACTTTTCTTTTAGTTAAGTCATTAAATAAATTGAGCCCATCTCTGTCTGAAAGAGAGGAAAAGAGAAGAGGAGGAACAAGTCGTTCCAATATTATAGCAATCCTGCGGTGAAAATTAAGGCGCAGCCTTGAGTAGGATTCAGTACGCGTGTATAGTCAATATACGGTTAAAAAAAAATGTCTCAAGGAAATGAATCATGTTTCTTGCAACATCCTTCGGGTGCGTTACCGTTAGGCCGGCCCTTGCAATCGGCGCGCCTCTCTTTCCGTTCTTTTTCTCATAGATCGCGCCCGGTCATCTCCACGTCGTCCGACCGCAACGAGAGGCGAACCCGTTCGATATTTCAACAGCGGGACACAGGCGTAACGAATGCTTGTTATGTATAGAGCTAACCCATTTCATATCTCAAGCAGCGTGTGTAAAATGCGTATTAATATGTCGTATCTCCCTCCTGCTTTTTTTTTTATCGACAAACGAGTTTTCGCTGAAAAATTGTCCCGATTTTAGTCTTGCAACGTTAAAGGGAGAAATCTATTTATGTTTCAAGAAAAAATGGAGTAACAAATTTCCTCCAAAAAAAAGTCGACGTAATAAATAAAATATCCTATCGCGCTCTCCAGCAGTTCTTGTAAACGTTCGAATCTTTCGAAAGATCGATCAAAGCGTCAAGAATGACTCGTGAAAAAAATACGAATCTCTTTTGTGAGAAATAAAATTTCGGCAAGAGCGAGAGGAGGAGAAAGGGAGAGGATTATTATTAAACATCCTTCATATCGAAAGAATGGTTAAGACGCATTACGATGTTATCCTGAATCCGTGAATCGTACATGGTTCATTGACCAAGCATGACGGACCACCGTCGTGAAAAAGAAATATTATCGAAGACCACGGGCGATGCAAATGAAGAATTAATTGGTTACAATTAGCGATGTACATTCCGGTTCTCTAACGCAATTCGTTCGCGTCGCGATACCATTATCATTAAACGTAACAATTAGACCAATCCGGCGAAGAGCTTTTTATCCATTTCATAAATTGTCTTTTTTTTTTGTATAGAATAGCAGGAAGAGAATATCGTTTTAATCGACGTGACTGACGAGGGGATTTTACAGCTTCTTCGTCAAGAGGATGCAATAAGCGTATGACGAGCAGCGAACGAAATGCGTATTTGATTGTTCGGTCGACAGGCAAAAAAATCCTCGCAAAAAGTTATCCCGTGTAACGTGGCTATTTGCAAAACACGCGACTTTCAAGCCGCACTCTCGACGGCATATGCGAGCGACTAAAATAAAGATTCCATCACGAGATGAAATCTCTCTCAACGAGAATTAATAAAATTCGTCATTTTTATTTTTTTTTAAACTATAGGCAATTAAGGGCAATGTAAAAATTTAAAAAGAATTGGATAAAGACAAAAAAATTTACATACATTATATATTTTTCCTGAATTTTATATCCTTCGAGTTTAAGTAAAAGAATATTGATTATGGAATTTTTTTATGTAAACAATCTACATCCACATGCAGATAATAATATATTACCTCTTCTCAACAATTTTTTGTTCGAAAAGCAGCTAATGTAATTTCTGATGTAACGGATTTACAGTTACGGATTTTAGCGTAACGTTAAGCGATACATTAAAAATTAATTATTTAATTAATTAATTAATATTTCCCGAAAAAAGAAGCGGTTTACATTTCACGAGTCTCGCCCACCGACATAATGGAGATGGAAAACGGTACCTGCCTCTTTATCTCTCTCTCTCGCTGTTGTCTCAAAATAACGTTCGGTCGAAATTACTAGATCCTGACATATGATAAAATTAAAAAATTATCCCTGCTTTATAGACGAGCGACTATAATCCGGTTTGGAGTTTATGATTTAACCGGTTCGCAATATTCAACAGTATGATACACGCGAAATTTCACCGGCCAATTAAGCTGCGTAATTTCTCGCACGAATTAATTTGCGTTAAAGTAATTCAAAGCTTGCGGGATGTATGCAAACGTAACTCACTCGACTCGAGTGGCATAATTTAAAATCACCGTTGTCTGCGGAAAAACTGGTTCCAAGGTGTTGCGCGTGCAACAAGATTGTTCTAGATTCCGAGGCAGGTTCATTCAAGCATCAAAATTGACCCGTGAATTTCAGATGCTATCATAGTTAAATTTAGTGGCATAGTATTCTGATGGCGTTAAAAGTGAGGAACTTTACCCTAGATTTTCGTGAGAAACTATGCTTTCTTAAAGAGACAGGCGTGCAATCATGTGTAGAAGATTATTTAAGATAATGATATAGAATTAACATCTCGAAAAATGATATCATTAGACCGTATAATATTTCGTCTTTATATATTCTCATTGTATATAGAAACATCTAATATCAATTCTAATACCAATTTGAATATAAAATATATTATAAGTGAACAAATATTAAATAAATCAATAATATGTAAAAAATAATAAATATACGAATAAATAAAAACGAAATAAATAAATAAATGTATTAATACATATATAATAAATATATAATAATAAATAAATATTTGATATAATATATAAAACATAAATTTATAAAAAAAAATTACATTTAACAATAGGTACATTTTTCGACGTAGTTTTCGTGAGTTCTAAAATCTTTTATCGAGAAGGCAAGTAGTACCAAGGAAAAAAGATTTGGATTTGCCGGGTATAAATAGCCTATACAAATTTAACGTAAAGCCGTTATCGCGTCTTGAAAAAGGAAAAGCCGATCGAATGTGAAAAGGTTTGAGTAAAAAAAATAGAGTATTCGCGGAGAAAGACGACCTGCGATAAAACTGCATGGGGCTGTCGAACAAACTACCGACGGTTACGATAGCGCAGTTATTTATTTCGACGAGGTCACACTGGTCTTCCACTGAACTTTATCCTCGAAACAATTCTACGATCGAGAGCTACGCGGGGCCAAGATTCGTATTTCGCCTCCAGTTCCGTTCCCCGATAAAAGCGTCAGTTGAAAAACGGGAAACGACGAGAAATTTATACTGGTTTTTCAAATAACGCGATAGAAAAGCTCGACTAAACTTGTATTTTCCTAAGGAGAAAATTGTTGGGAACTCCCCAAATTTTATAGTCATTACAAATATATCGTAAAGATACGTAAGATTATTAACTTCTGATATATTAATACGTTTTCAAATTTTCAATAGTATTTTTTATTAATGTATTTATTAATATTTAATTTCCTACGCTTTATATCTGTACCTTCGAAAAGTGAAGCTTATACGAAAGTATGTAACTTATATCCACGTGAAAAAATCGAGTTGAAGAACGGAACAATCGCTCGTGTACAAGATCTCTGGCCAGCCTACTCCTTTCGCTTGTTACTTTTTATTCTTCGAAAAGAAAGATATCGCTCCGCAAAGGAGAAAGAGTACGTGGCCACGTAGTATGCACAAAATCCGGCCCCAAGCTGGGGTAAGATAATAAATATGCAAAAAAGAAGAGTTTCGATGCCGTAAATAAAAACGGCTTGCGTGCTGTGCGAAAGTCTGCGGTGAGAGAGAGGATCGCGCGATTCGAAATAAAAGGACGGTGGAGCAGAAAAGGGTGGTATGACAGGGGATGGAGGAATGCGAAAAAAAACAAGGAGAAGAAAGAGGAGGATGAGGAGAAGAAAAGAAATGCAGCATCTTCTGTTCCTTTCGCAAGAAGGCAAACGCGCGTTGTAATCTCTTGATTTAGTTCGACTTAGCGATGAATACATTTCTCTGTCGGCTTTTTCGAGACAAGAAGGCGAAGATGGACTAGGTCGAAGGTGGACCAGGGAGAAAAGCATACAAATAATGGTTAGATTAATATGGCGTGGTAGACGATTATTTGACAGCGACAGTGAACGATGAATGTCTTTATCAGCGTGAAATTTGGGAAAGGCAAGATTGTTCATCGAATTTTCGAATGTTCGTAATATAATTATCTAGAATGACCACTCGATTGAATTGCCAACTTTTAGTCGCGTTTTTTTATTATTTTACTACAAATTTAAAATGCGCTCTTTTTAAACAATAATTTTTATATAATTAACTCCTGAAATCATTTTTATAACCATTTACTTATAATGAAGACTTCAATCTTCACAAAGAGTTAGAGTATATAAATTATAAAATATAGAGATATAATAAAATGTTTTTCAATATGAGTATTTTAATATAATTTTTTCTGATATTATATATCAGAATCAACGATGATTATATCATAGTATAAAAATAAATCTGTGCGTATCATCTATATTTTGCATGCATATTGTTTGGTTGAAAGATTGAATAGCGATAGAAATTTCTATGTTCGTCCACAGTGACAATAATCAATTTGAGCAATTTTAAATTGGATAATTTCGACATAATAGTGCATAATAAGTAGCGCTTAATTATGGTACCGTTTTATCATCGACGAATCGATATATCATCTTGAGATCATTCCTGGTTACGCAGGATGTCACTATGAAATGTTTCTCGCACTCACCTGTACTCGTTGTCGATGTCGATCTTGTTTCCGTTGCCGCCTCTCTAGCTCTTCCTTCCTCTCGATCAGCGACCTTATCTCGACGGCCGCCACGGGAGCCGTCGTATCGTCGGGCACGTTGCCGCACGAGGGTAATCTTCTCAATGTGGAAATCGACTCCTCCTCTCCCTCACTGTAACTCTCCACCATGAGCTCCGAGTCGCTCTGGAAGTGAATTAATTCCATTCCTGAGATAACGAACTATGGCAGCCATCGGATTTAACGGATTAGAAATTGCAAAGAGGTAAAATCTCGAGCTTTGATTCAGTCTTGATGTAATTGCGAGTTATTTTCGCAATTATTTTTATTATTATTTAAACAATTTAATTTATTTCTTATTTTTTATTTAAAGAATCTAATTAATTAATTCAAGTTATTTAAGTAATTTAGAAAACTTCTTTTTCACGTAACACTATAATAATAATAATTATTATTATTATTATAGTGTAGCAAGAAAAATTAAAGATAATTTTATGATATAAATTCTCTGTGTCTCTTTCATTCGCCATTTCGAATCCGGAAAATCGAATACGGAATTCGCGAGGCTCTACACAGCGCATCGTACGCGCTTTCTGTGGGGAACGAAAGATTTATGACAGTTACCAACATACCTGTGTCGGTGGCGAACTCGGTGAACTTGTGCTCGAGGCCTCGACCACGGAAACGTATTCGCTGACGCCGGTCTCGCTCTTTTGCAGTTTCAGCACCGGTGTCTCCAAGCCGCACAAGAACACTTGACCGAAGAAGAGAATCTTGCTTATCCTCAGACACACCTGTGCCACTTCCTGAAAACGCAATCGCAAATTTATTCTATGATAACGCGGAGATACTTCGGTCACACACACACATTAATAAATTAAAATTCTTTTCCAAACTTTTAAATTTTTATAAATCATATAAGCAGAAGAAAAGCAATATTTTATTTTCAAATTTATTATCAGCAATAAAAGCACCGACCTTACATAACGTAATGTAACCTACCATATCTTCCGTTTTCTCCACGTAGCAAGGATCTTGCGGATTCAACATGAGCGGCGTAAATCCTGCCAACGTGATATCTTCTGGTAATTTCACGAGCTCCAGATCTAAAAGCAAACATAAAAATTCGATACCATCTGTATGCACGATAAAATCCTCGCATGAAATTCTGTGATCGTGCCAAATCGAATTCTTTTATAGAGCATACAGAGGAGTGACCCTGAATTTATCCGCAAAGATCCATATCACGTATCGCGAAAGGAGCTCAGATGTTTATGCAACGTGCCTTAGAATCGGTAAAATGTGATCGCATTCTGGCGACCCACCGTCTTTCGCGTCCGGCATTAAATTCTCTGATAATACAATATAAGCGCAGAATAATAATCCGCGATGCGAAGAGTAAATTCGAAACTCTTTCGTGCGCAGAAATATATTAAAGTGTTTATAAAAATATATTCATCATATACAATATATTGTAATATTTTTTTTCTTTTAAATAAGAAATACAATTTTTAATTTCAAGATATATCGAAATATTGAAAAATGTTTAAATTTAGATAATTAATAAAACTAAAAAAATATGTCACATCTTTTGTCTCGCTAATGACTTTGAGGCAGATAATAATTACATTAACGCAGAAGGCTGGAAAAGAGAGAGAAGTCGCGACTATGAACTTGACAAACTTATCAATTCTAGTCAGCTGGATCAGTCCTATCTCATCGTGTGATATTCACTATGAGCAACGCGCGCACTGACGTCCAGTACGTATATACTCGGTTTAGAGGTAAGTATACCGTGAGCAAGGACGCGCCGTGAAACTAGAACGCTCGTTTCCAGACGACCGGACCCGTTGGAAGACCCAGTTCGAGACCGAACTCGCGATCGCTAGTGATCTACGAAAATAGGAAATTTCATCGCGCTTTTCTCGCAAAAATTATACGCATTCATTAATTGTTTCCGAAGTTAATCTACCTGCTAAAATAGTGATCGCCGACAATTGCTTCTACTGAGAGTTGATAATTTTCAAGAATGAATATGACCAGTCAAACTTCAACACTTTCGCGATCAATACGATGATGTAACATTATATTTCTTTGCTTAAAAAAATTTAGAACCGTTGATAGTATTACGTTTTTCTTGAATTAAAACCAATCGAAAGAAAGGAAGGGGGCTAATATGTACTTGTGCATTGTTGCTTTGAAATGATAATTAATTCCGCATAAAGTCATCTGCAATCTGAAAGGCTTAACGGTACCATTTGGTCGGATGTATCGACGCGATGCGTGCTAGATGCATGTATACGGAAAAATCGGCGGAAGACATCGTCGGGTCATCTCGAGATCTACACATGAATGAGCTTCGGGGTAATGCAATTTGTGTATTCATAACGTAAACGCGACGAGCAACATATAGTGGCGATGTGGCTCGCACACACGCTAAAAGACCATTGGCTACACGCCAGTAGTAAACGGCCACAAGAGAATGGCACTGCAGTGGTCATGTCGAACGTATTCACCGTTACGCAACCGTCGCGCCAGCTATCTACGGGTCAACAGACCGGTCACCGACTTCGTTGGCACTTCGAATAACTCGCGATTTTTTTCGATTAAGCCTGGTCCAGGTTTGCCTGCTCGAGAGAATCGCTTTCGATCGAGCATCTTCCGGATTTCATCTCGCGCATTAATATCTGATGTGCGATTTAACATTTTATTGTCGAGTCGGAAATTTATTTTTATTGATATCGTAGATCAAATAATATCGAATAAGTACAATGTTATGATTTTATATGTCGATTCGGAAATATTTCCATTAAAAGTAAAATTCTGTTAATTATTGAAATACCAAGATCAAATATTGGCAACTCGATCTTGCACTCGATCTTTACGATTTCGTTAAAGACTTAGTCTATTTTAGAGGCTCAAAACAGTTGACATTTTCTAAAGTATATAATGTCTGAAGAATATGTTTTTTTAAATTTCATTGAAAATCTCAAAATCTAAAATTGACGAAATTATAAGAGTTTAAAGATGATAATATGCAGATCTGCAGATGAACCTTTAAACGCATTTTTTTTTCAAAATGTTGTTTTCGAAATTCGTGTCATTGATATTTTGAAAAACTAACAGACCGAACAATTTAAATTTTTTAAATGAAAAAATACTTTTCTGAATCTAATTAGAATATGGATATTGAATCTAATCAGAATTTAAAAAAATTAATATTTAATATTTTTCTAATGTTTAAGAAATAAAAAAATTTTTAACAAAATTGAGATATTTAACTTTAAAATGTCCATTTTTCAAAATTTTTCAAAATTTGTTCTAATAAAATTTTAATATTTTACAAATACCTTATAAAATAAAACCAAACTGAGTTCATTCCTTTTAGACACAAGAAATAATGTATCATTTTAATCATGCATTTTCGAAGGTACAGAAATTTGTATAAAATAGAGAAAAGCTAAATATCTAAGATTTAAAAATACCAACGTATTATTTAAACATCAATAAAACATATGTAAAGTGTCATATAAAAAGGTCAATTTCTAATATTTATAAAAAAATTCTAAAAATTATCTATTTTTCATCGCTAGAATAGACTAAGCTTTTAATTTTTCATATCTATCAATTTAATTGCATTTTTAGCATGATATTTTTTTAGGTGTAACAATCAATGCAAATATCGTTAGCGGTAGAGAAAGATTACGAACTGACATACCTTTATTCTCTTCACGATCCTCAGTATCCTTGCTCTGGATCAAGGTTGTTCTAGTATAATTTAATTTTTCTAAAAGATTCACCATCGTCGCCAGCCTACTCCACGCATCTCCCGGCGGTCTGTAACAAAATGAGAGGATCGAGTTAAGCATCCTCTCTGAATTTCATAACATGCATCCAGAATGAGTCAGGAATCTGACAGAATCGCTCATGGCTCCGTTTGCGTCACGATAAAAATTCCCAATGATTTGGCAAAAATTCTCAGAAGAACTGAATTCTTCTAATATATAATTTAAAGACGAAGGAAAAAAATTCTCGATAATATTGAGGCTAAATGTCGAATTTATTTTCTGTGCGATTAATCCGGCGTCACTTGGAAGATTGAGTCGTCGAACTGTGATTTGTGATTCGCGCCGCTTTCAGATGATAATTCTTAATTCCCTAAAGTATATTTTTTATTGAATTCTTACTAACGTTACTTGACGCCACCGTAGCGCCTTAAGAGGCCGACGACCTCTCCTTTATATCTCCGGTAATATCGGGACTAATTTTCTACGGATTTCAGATTCCTAATTATTGTTTTTGTACGAATGACAGCGTAAGTGCCCCGAAAACTCGTGAGGTTTGCCGGCTGTGTAAACAACACTTGCTCAAACATTTGCTTATGAAACAAAATTAAACCAGGTAATTTGCTACTTGATTTCTTCGCAACTGGCTCTGACATGAGGTAAATATTTTCAGTTTCTGGATCATTCGTCACGCGAAGAATATTCTCGCCGCAGGGTACGACAATTACAGCGACGTGACCAAGAACCCCCGATGGAATTCTGCTTGCCGAAAATACAGTCTCGATGCACCGCACGAAGGTACATCGAGATATTCCCGGAGATTTTGCGGTTTCGGAGAGCGATCACGATGCAAACGGCGTGAACGCGCGTTCACGAATTTTCGCACGCTTTTGCGTGCGCGATTTCGCGCATTTACGACGAGATACATAAATCCAAGACACGATTGGACGGATAATACAGGGTGCCTGCTCAAATCTTGTAAAAAAGTTGTCTGAAAATTCTCTGATCTTACCGAGTATTTTTGTTCAAAATTCTATAAAGAGAATATTTTAAAACTGTTTTAGTGTAACTTTCTAAAATAAATTTCTTATTGCAATGTTTTTGAATTATACTAAGAAAAAACACTATATTTCAAGTACTATATTTCAAGTACTAGATTTGGAAATGTATTAAAAAAAACTAAATAACTTTTGTAAGATGAGTATTTTTCACTTGCATATAATTTTCATTTTTTTATAAGTAAAAATTATAATAAAAAATAATGTGCTACATTTTAAATATTTTGCTAAAATATTAAATACATAAATAAAAATAAATAAGTATATATTTATAATACATTTTAAAAAGAATTCATTTGACTTGCCGACTGTTACATGACTGTTAATATTGAAAACAGAATTATCACAGAAATTTTTTTTTAAGTTTTCCGAATTTCAAAATTCCATGAGAATTCCCTGACTTTCCCGAGTACAAAAAAAATCCTGAAAATTTCAAATTTTCCATATTTTTTCAGTAGTGTCCTGTAATAAATTTTATATCCGAGCATTCGTGTCGCGTGAACCAAATAAAAAATGTCGCGAGTCCTCGCGCGTGAATATGATATATTCTCGTGCGACTATTTATTATTAATGTCGAGAATTACGTATTGGAAATTATTTGCGGCGAGAGAGCACCGCGTAATGCGCGCGCGGCGGATAATAATAATAGATCACAGATTTATACCTTTAATGTACTTCGCGTACACGACCGGCGGCGGCTCGTTTCACCGACGTTATTAATGATCTACCTACGGCGTACGGGGTATACGTTTCCATTCACCACTTCCGTATTACTGTAAAGCCGAAGTTGTCCGCTCAATTAAGGGCCTAGTCTATTCTACTAGTACGACCAATTGATGATTTTTAAGAATTTTTTTTTGAAGAATATTAGAAATTAATCTTTTTGACGTTTTTACATTTGTTTTTATTGATATTCAAACAGTATATACGTCAGTATATTTAAATCTTGGATATTTGATTTTTTTTTGTTGAATCTGCGTGTAGCGTGTTCAATAATAACGATGTGATATGCTGTTCTCCGTGTAATTATCTGAAGTGAAAAAACTCGGTCCAGTTTTACTCCATAGAATAAAACCAGATTGAGGATATTGACCGTAGAATATTGAATCTAATTAAGAGAATTATTATTTAATATTTTTCTGATCTTGAAGAAACGGCAAAAATTTCAGCAAAATTTAAATATTAATTTTAAGTCGCATTTAAAAATATGTATGGAATAAAATTAAACCGATTTTTTTCGTCTCAGATAATTATACGCGGAGCAGCAGGTCGTACTATCGAACTATGCATTTTTGAATACGCTACACACAGAGGTTCGTATTGAACAAAAAAAGCTAAATATCAAAAATTTAAAAATATTGATACTGTAAATATTAATAAAAATATATATATAAACATTAAAAAAATTGATTTTTAGTATTCTTCAAAAAAAAGTTCTTAAAAATCATCAATTGTTCAATATTACTAGAGTAAACTGGACCCTTAATTCACCTGCTATTCTGTAGCGACTCCAAGATTGTTTGTTCGAGCAAGGGCAATTTCGAGGGTCATCATTTCAAGGATCTGCCTTTCCCTAAACTAAATTTTATTCACCATTGGTAATACGCCAGTAATTTAGTAACAATATGCTTGCCTCGATTACGCAAATTTTTCATTATGTAAAGAAAAAAAGATTTTTTTGAAGGCAAATATTTTTGATAATCCTGTAAAAAGATTGTAATAAGTTGAAATACATTACGAAATTATATTCTGCAGATTTTCCTCAGAAAATAAAATTCGCGTATTAAAAAAACACGACGACTATGAATTTTTAAATATAAACTCCGTTCCATCGTGCAGTTATTATCAAACGATTATTTACGATATACGACATGATTCCGATAATAACGTACGAGAGGAAATTACACGAGAGGAGAGACTTCTTAATCGATCGCTTAATTTCGCGACGGTTTCCGGCGCGATTAATCGATAGACATCGTTAAAGGTCATCGGTTAATCGCGTCCGCTACGGGACTCGGATCGCGAAATCCACGACCAGCATCGGCAAGAATCGTCTGCCCAGGCGATTCTAAGCAACGGCGATCAAGATCGAGAGAGGATCGGCAGCCGCGTCGTGGCGTCCTTGTCAAGGAAACGCTTGACTCACGTAATTGTTAATCGTTAACGAGCAACAATAATTAACCTATCGCGGCCGGATAGTAGCCATTGGTTAAGCGCGCGTCTCGAGAACGTTGCGAGAAAAAAAGAAAAGGAAGAAGACAGATAGAGACCGGGAGGGGAAGGGGATAAAAGAGGGAAGGGAGCTTTGAGGCTCTCGTTTAATGGACGGTAGATTGCATCAGTCGGACAAGCGTGACTCTCGCGCGCTCTTTTCTCTCGCTCTTATTCTTCTTTTATTTTATCTCATTAGCGAAACTCGCATCGAGAGAAGCGACGACGCGCCGTGCGTCGATAAGATGAACGGCATGCTCTTTCTCTCTTTCTCTCTTTTCTCGTCGTCTCTCTGCACGAGATGCGCGCCAAAAAGTATTCGCTCACGCTCGCGGATGATCAATTCGAGACACGCCGACCCGATCTCTTTGTGAAACGCTGGTCCTTGGAGGATCCCTCGAGCACCGCAGGACACCGGATCGGGATTTCCCTGTGCTTTTAGGTTCCTTATTTAGTGACATGACTCAGCGTAGGGCACGTCGCTGCGCTGACAATTCGGGGATTCAATGGATCCGCGAACGAAAGAGCGAAATTCAAATTAGAATTCATTATAAGTTCAAGCAAATAGAAAATCATCGAATGAAATTGAATTAAGAATCGCATCTTGCTGCGTGTAAAAATCTTCATAATATTAGAAACCATGATTGTGTAATCTCTTAAAATTCAGATCATTCTTTAATTCAAGATTGTATTATATATTATTATTACTACTACTACTACTACTATTACTACTACTACTATTACTATCATTAATAAATATATTATTAAATATATAATCACAAACTTGTTTTAAATTCTTGTATTTTTCAAATTTATATATACATATAAAACATGCCAAATTCGCACGTATTTTAAATTAATAAAAATTCAAGATGAACAAAAATCTAACAAAAGTAATATTTGTATCTTCACTATAAGTATATAAAATTCTTTACAAATATACTCATTTCATCTTTGTTAGTAATTCATGTAATTTCCTCAAAAATATCATAAATCATTAGTTCTATTTTAAATTGCATGTATACAAATGATACTCGAGTATCAGTGACAACGCGTTGTGATCTATCATTTTCCCTCTTTCCCGAAAATTCGTCGACCAAGCTGCGACGGCGGTTCCCGCCCAAGAATTATGAATTAGAAACGGAATGTGGAACGTTACAATCACGAACATGTGTCGCGCTATGGGACCGCTGCGGGTGTCGCGACGTCTTTACCGGTTTCTCACACCGCGGCACGATTCGCCGAGGCATCACCGCGCGAGGAAAATTAATAGTCCGATACAACAGTCATAATTCAAAACACCTCAAGTGTCAACCTGAATTAATAGTTGTTATGCGCAGCTGCGACGAAGTCGAATGCGGCGAAAGCTATCCTAACAAATCTCTCTCTCTCTTTCTTTCCTCCCCTCCTCTCTTTCTCTCTCTTTGCCTCTCTTCTCGATGCATCTCGGACGGGATTAATCCGTTTGACAAAAGCGGGATGTGGACCAGCCTCTCTCTCGCGGAGCCCGCATATCGAGTTGAAATTAGAACCGATGCGGTAATAATTAAAGCGGGACAGTAACTTATGCATTCGCGACGAAGCGTGATAGAGAAATGGTGCCGCGAGTACCTGTGCTTGGCGCGCGACGAGGCGCGAGAGATCGAGCCTCGATACGATGCAGCGGTTGACCGTGACCTACGCCACGCTCGCTTCCATCACCTCCCAGTCCCTCTCTCGCCCCTAGTGAGATATCGGCTCTCTCGCTAGAACAGGCTCGCGTCTATTAAGCAAAAGGTACAGCCACAATGCAATGAAACGTATACAGGAATTTTTGTATTCTCTTTTGTCCTCGATTTGTCACTCACTATTCCCGATTTTGTTATCCCCTGTTTCGTTAAAAGCAGTTTGTTTTCATTTCAGTCAATTACACGTGGAATAGCATGTTAAACTATGCATTTTTGAATGTGTGCAGACTCGTATTGAACAAAAAAAGCTATCTAAAATTTTTTAATATTAACGTACTGTAAACAAAAATGTAAAATACTAAAAAGATAAAATTTCTAATATTCCTGAAGAAAAATTCCTTTACAATATCATCAATTTTTCACACTATTAGAATAAACTGGACCCTTAAGTCTGCAACCTAGCACAGCCATATGAAAAAGAGGCAAAAGATTTTTAAAAGCTAAAGTGCCTCAGGCATATTTAAATGAATCTGATTATAATTTATTTCGATATGATAGCCAAATGTGATTAGGTCACGATACGATTGGTAGCATCTCGCGCGCTAATGATCCCTTGCTCCCAGAATCTAAGTTATCTCAAGGCCACACGTCAACGGAGAGCATGATTGCGCTACATGTTAAGTGCTTCGCGCTTCATTCGTGTTGTCCTTAAGGACAGCTAAAACCCCGAGGCTGAAGACGATCGAATATAACAATCATTTTCGAATTAATATCCTCCTTCGTATAATAGTCTCTTCCGAGCAAAAAATTCTTTGAAGGATATACGAAAATGATTAATTTCCGAGTCTACATTGTTTATCGATTCCAAAGTAAGAATAATAAAATCGATTGAATCTTCCACCTTGCTATTACATTCATTTAACTACACTATTCAATCTTAAATTTAAACGTTATGAAAAATCATTTTAATGCCTACTCGAGTAAAAAATTACGTGTTCAAATTACGTCTTGTATATTACACATGCATATATACAGTTCGCATTGAATTAATTACTGATTAAAAAAATAATTTTTAAAAAAAAGTAAATAAATATTCCATATGACAATCATTAATGAATAACTATTTTTTTTCGAATGTTAAATGCGTGTCTTGCAATCTCGATGATCGATTTTTTTGTACGGTTCTTAATAAATGCTTAATAAATTTTTTTAAGAGCATAAATATCACGCTAGCGTAGCTGAAAGTCTCGCATGATTGCAATTCAGACCATACAAGCCACAAAACCACAAGATCAAAAAGTTCGAGATATATCGCGCATTTCTGCTACAAGCTACGATGTATATTCGTTTCCACAGTTAAAATTTAATTCTAATGCTAGGATTGCACGATTAACAAAGTTGTAATTAATTCGTGGCGGACACAGAAAGCAGTCTGTGAAATGAACGAAACTTATTCGTGCATTGCGAAACAATATAAGGGGATTAGACGCCAAAATCGAGAACTACTATAACTGAAGATCGCGTTAATCTTATTTCGTTGATTGAGTTTGAAATTAAGAAACTTACCCGACTCTGTAATCCGTACAAGACGGCGGAGGATTCCAAACAGTGCTATGGCACAGCATCCAGTCGCACCATATCTATAGAAACAAACATGAAAAAAATAGTAAAATTTATAATTTATTAATATAAAGTCAGTGGGAGTATACGCCATTAATACAAGCTAAAATGTCTATTAATTATTTCAATAAAAGAATTGTCTGAATACTAACATTGGTATTTTCATTCGCATTGATTTTTAAATGTAAGAAATAATGAGGACTCAACATTTAAAAATGCGCCAATACTTTTAAAAAATTGTTATTTAGTCAGAGAAGGTCTTGCGTCGAAAAAAGTAACATATAAAAGCTATAACTTTATTTATAAAAACATTTGAATAAAATTTATGTAAATATATATATATCAAATATTATGAGAAAATTTTAATTATTTAGAATTAAATATATTTTGAAATTTTCGCTTATAAAAACATGTTATTTCAGAAAATAATATTTTTACTTGTCATTTACATTCTTATCGAGAATATTCAATTACCAAAGAAATTGCAAAAATACTTGGTTATTTATAGCACCGTCCATCTATCCTCATAAAATGAAATGTATTCCAACGGCCTTGTATCGCGTCTACTTTATCGGCAATATTAATGGTTTCACCCCTCATACAGTCGTATGCGCGAGTCTGGCTATTATTCCTTGTATCAGCTCGCATTCCGATAGTAATCATTGTTTTCTTTTTTTTCCTTTACAGCTCTTTCTCGTTAGTCTATAGTAACTATGTATGTAATGCATATGCGCTAATTTCATAGTACGTACATATGTGCATATCAACGAAATATTTATTTAAAATAAAATTCCTTAAACTCGATTAAATTTAATTAACGTCAATTTATTATTCTTAGCGATTCAAAAATCAAATTAAATAATTAGGAGAATAATTACTTGTTTCGATAAAATCCTCAACTACTTTCCTAGCTATCAACTTTATTTATTTTTTCACCGTATAACTAAATAATGATTATTGTAGCGCTCAATCTTTTATCAGGATTTTGAACGAAACAAAACTCGTAACTTCATCGATATCGATTTCTGATTGTAAAATGACTATTAATCAATGAAGCGCGAATAGTTTACATGTGACAGATACGTTGATTTATGTAATAAGTTATGGTACAAAAAATAAATCAAATCGAAGTCTAACACTGAAACTCTCGCGACGTTTTATAATTCAATTCTCTGGTGAAGAATTTAACGCTTTCAGACCGCGCCAATAAAAGAGAATCGAACTCGTGAAGAAAATCTGATGTCTTTTGGATGCCATGGACCAGTGATAGCCAATCGACAACAGTTCGTCATAAATTATCCCGAGGAAAGCGGAATAAAACAGCAATATTAATGATGATAAAGCTTTTTTTTACGATCATACATATATTTATACGAGCCCTCAAAATTGGAGAATATTGAATTGCGACCACCAAAGAGGAGACTGAGAGCTTGGCTGTTACTACTCCAGATCTAATTATCCCGTAATGGCCGAAGCCACGGACGATGCACGTGATCGAGCGAACGTTTCGACTCGGAAATTGATTTACGCTCTTGCCGACTCGCGTCGCAAAACGCAATTAAGACTTCGCTCGTTCGATACATATTGATAACGGAGGAAAGAGAAGGGAAAAAGTATACCTTAATAGCTGGTAGAAGCACTTGTAGATCCTCGCCGACCACAAGCCTCGGCTCCTGTCCGCTGTCTAACTGAGCTTTTAGCAGGGAAACACCACGTTCCAAGATCAGACTGAACATTTGTAGTGATACTACGAGCGCCCGTTCTTGGACCTCTGATCTATAACCTTGCTCCATCTGGGAATCTGCAATCAAAAACATCGGCCGAAATATAAGATCGGCACGGAAAAGAAGCACGAATGAGAGATAAAATTATTTTTATTCCTGGAAAAAACATTAAATATAGAAATAATTCAAAATATATCACACTTTACAAGAATTATGACATAAGAAATATTCTTGTAAGAATTAATTTCTTCGAAAAGACTCTCAAGAGTTTGGCATATTCAAGTAAATCATCCTTGAAACTTCCTTGAAACTTCCTTGAAACAATTTCATCCCGCAGGATACACTATTGGAAATCATCAGTATCGCTGAAGAGAACATCATTTCAATTGATTACGAACAATAATCCATGAAGAGGGAAAGAAAAAGAGAGAGGTACGAGGGTGGACCTACCGCGCGCGGATATCTGGATGGCAAATTGGTGATGATTGTTCATCGGAGGAGAGGAAAACGAGTAACTAATGCCAGTAGCGATCACGTTTCGGTGATGATGATGATGATGATGATGATGATGATGATGATGATTATGATGATTATGATGATGATGATTATGATGATGATGATGATCGGTGATGCGCAATCTATTCGGCGTCGCGACCGGATTCGCCATTGGTGGCCGCGCGCTCTTCTCTTCGGGGCTGTCATTATGCGTCATATCGAAGCTACGTGACGGGACGCGGCTCCCGGCGGATTCCAAAGAGCGAAGGGCACGGTATGACCTTCTGTACCATCTCCGTTTCCTCCGAGTCATTTCCAGATCGTTTCCTGGAGATGTTTCCTTGAAGAAAATCCGCCTAGCGAATTGATTCCTCGAAACGATACTCTTGAAATCCAAGTGATATCATCCATGAAAGAAGTTAATTTACAATAACAGAAGGTGATCCGAATATCATCCCCTATAATTTCGACTCTTAGGAGATTTTTCATTTTTTTACTTTGAATACATCATTGTCTACTTTGAGTCATAAAATTGTTGTCTTATTATAAGGATTATTTTCTGAATTAGTTTTGAAAGCGTGATATATACTTGCAAGATTTCAAAGATTTTATTTAACAAAAAATCATATAAGAAATTTATAAAAATATTAACAAAAATAAAAAATATGTCACAATATTAGCATATAAATTAAATTTCAAAAAACGTGAGATAAACAATATGATTAAACTTATCGATACGTTATTGAAATTTCACGAGAAAAAGATTTATTATCTCATATACATTATTCAATATTTGCCATATTAACATTTTAATGGCAATTTTCATCGCTCTCGAAGATGAATCGTTGATCGGTATCAAATATTTCACCAGAGCAATGTCACACTTGATTATTTTTATCCGGATACTAGAATTTTACACCAGATTCTACACTATCTCACGAATATTATAAATTCTCCCGCACGTATTCGTCCTCGGCGAACGACCCGTCGTTACCTTGTACGTCTTTATTAGCGGACTACAGCGAAGCTAATTAGATGAGCATCGCTAACGATGGTGTAATAGACTCGTGCAAGAACGTCATTTATCGGAACTACTAGCATTTATTATGGAAAACGAATAATGTAGTAAGCCTAGTAAGCTACACAGGTATGATTTTTTTATATATTAAAAAATTTATTTATTCTCTCTTTCTCTCCTAAAAATATTTTTTAATCCAGAATAATATAAAATACTTTAATAAAAAAGAAATTAGAGAATATTAAAGCTAAATATATACAAGATAAATTGAATATATATGATTAAAAGATCTACGATAAAAATAAAAACAAGAACAGAGTACATCCATTAGCCAACTTTATTTTTCCTTTGTTATAGGAGTTACGGGTGACTTCAAAAATTCGAAAATGCGAGCAAAAGCGTAGTTTTTCGCAACGCGAATTAACTCTGCACAATAGAAGGATAACATAAATGTAACAAGCGAAAGGGCAGCGCACGTCCATGCCATCCTCCATCAAGCGTCCATACATACGTACGAGAGCCATATTCGAAAGTAGACTCTGGCAGTTTAATTTATCGTGGACAAGGATAATAATTAGCGTTTAACCGCGAGGTCGTTCTGAGAGAGGAAAATAGAGAAAGAGAAAGAGAGAGAGAGAGAGTCCACATAGTCCTCTCTCCTTATCGGGAATTGGGAGTGTAAAGGGTAATAAGTTAGAGAAGATTTACAGGGAGAGGCCTTAACTCATTGCCACCGCATGATCATTAGCGAAACTCAGGCGTATCGTCTTCTCTCGCGTCGACTTCTCCAATTTCCCCGTCTTTCGCGCGATCTAACTGCGATCGTTAATCCGCGAATAGACGCGCTGTCGCACTGTCTCTTGGGAACAACGTATAATGGAAAATATATTTACGACAATTAACGAAGTAACGATATCTCGAGGCGATAGCGAACGATCGGGATAAATTTTTGTCCGAAAATGTGGGGGGATTGAACAGCAATACTCGATACGAATCGGTCGCAAGGTGAATAAACTTTGCGAAAGATACGCACGCTTCCTCTTATCGAAATGTTTAACTAACGAAGTGAACGCGACAGAGCGAGATCCCGCGCTCCTAATGAAGTCGGTGGGTAAGCTTGGTTTTCCTGGTTCCCGGACCGATATTTTAACGCGATTACGGACACGAAAACGGACGGGATCGAGTCGCCATGAGCAATCAAATTAGCTGCGCACAGCTGATAACTCGATTATTAGCGACATAGCGTCTCTCGTTCGCTGGTTTCGCGACGCGCCAGCGATATTGCATTTTTATGAGATACCTTTCTGTAATTTCAAATCAAATGAAAACGATAAAAAGAATATTTATAAGTCGGCCCCAAAATTTATTTAATTCATAATTCAAAGCACACTCTGAAGAAATTATTTTACGTTTCTCTTTTTCATGATTCTTCCAATATTTTTTTAATTTTTATTAATTTTTATTAATTAGTAATTAATTTTTTATGAATTAGTAATTAATTTTTTATGAATTAGTAAGAAAAATTAATAAAATTTAAAATTGTATGAGAAGAACATTTTCAATTCGTTAAATGAAAGAATATGGACAGGGTTAGAGCTTTTAACAATATTCGTAGAAAATCTTTATCACTGCTCGAGAACACATGTTTTGCAGAAAATATATACATAAGTATGTAATGTACTCTGTAAACTTTCCTTATACGAGTTAGTCTTATCGTAAATTTACGTTAATATTAACGTAATGGAAAGAGAGAAGTATATTAAATCTCACATGCAATATCCATACGTCTCTTTCTGTTCTCCATTATAAATTCTACAATTTTTTGTTTCATTCAAAGTACGTGATGTTTTTAACGCTTCTAACATTCATTCAGACATCCGAAATGATCACTTTTTTCTCTCACCAGTGTTTTGATAGTTCTTGGGTTCTTAAGTGGTTAACGGTAAGGACGATAACCGATCGGCGTTCGAGGCGAATTTAGACGCCATATCGTCGAATACCGTTGCCTTTGACGGGTAAGGTGCTTCTTTCAGAGGCCGCAGCCTAACACACACGGAGAAGCGTACTCGTTTAATTCGGTTACACTACCCCATTCTCGTTTAGTAACGACTAGGGGAACGATGAACGGACTATTGTCTGAGGATAATCGCGTTTTAATAGCCGACACGAGAACCTTATGTATCGTTAAATGTAGTTATAATGCGGAGCAACGGGGTCCGCGCAAGAGGTGTAGGATGATTTTAATGGCCGCGAATATCTCGACCGAACGTTTTACGCATTATTTAAGCAGCGCAGCACGCACGGATGCGCAGAACCGCGCGCTCGTTTTGCGGTTTAACGTTTCAATCCTCGCTACTGCGTTTTACCCGCGTTTACCACGCGTTATGCCTTCCGAGTCGTTAACGGCTATTATAGAGATATTACGCTCACAATGTATCATGCAAGCTTTACGATGTTGCATCTACTTGCCGGAGGACATGTTTTTCGCGAATATTGTTCCATAAAAACGATATTAAGTTAGCCATAAAATAGCCATCGAATCCTGTTTTTTAATTAAATTGCAATGCGCTTGTTTAAAAACTCATCTATCTTCTTTCTTTCTATTGTTCTGTTTTTTAGTTCTATCTATTATTAGAAAATTTTGAAATTTCAATATAATTCTTCATACGCCATGTTATATTTAGATTTATTTTAAATTCATTTGAATTTATTTACATTTTCTATTGTTTTGCGAAATATTTAATCTTAATACATAATCGATCACACACTAAAAAAACGGAATATGATCTATTTCTTAATATTCTAAACGGAAGATCAAAATTAAATTATAATCTGCTTAGTTTTTTCTTAATTTATATATCTCAATCTTTTTTTGTACTCTGCTCCAAAATTCCCTCATTCATCGAAAAAATTCAACTTTAATATATATACATATTAATATACATATATTTTGCATACACGATATTTTTCTTAAATTTATTTTTCTCGTTAAAGAAGACGCTTCACGCCGAGCAATAAATATGATTAATGTTTTAATATCATACAACTTTGACATTCGCATATCATTGGAGGCAAAATGAAAGGGTCGTTCGTCGCGGAATCAGAAGTTTTGCGTTCAAACGTACCCTCCCTTTTCTTCCCTATGTGATTCAAACAAGCTTGCGTGATTCAAGTTAAAGGATACAACGTTGCGCAATGAATTTAATATCCGGTGACTCCGGTGATAATACCTTTGAACGACGACGTGCGCGGACTGCCCGAGGTAAGGACGAGGAGCTACGAGGGCGCCCATAAATAATCGGGCATAGGTGAATTCTCGACGTAGACCTTCGTGCGAGCGTCGTTTACATCGCACTAATCACGCCCGTAGATTAATAGGCTCCCCTCATTAGACCGGCCCGGCGTAATCGACATTTTATTAGTCATTTTATCGGTGCACTTGCGCGCGCGCACAAGCATTTTCCAGCAGTAATATCCCGCTCGTGTCGCATTACCATACTATTAACATAGTGCATACCTCGCGGCTACGTTCAACGACTTCAACCCTTTTAGCGCTCGCGCGCG